AAGCATTGAATAATGCTTTCCTATGTTGAGGTGTAATGCGCGCGGCCTTTGTTTTCCTGGAACTGGAGAATCCCTTTAAACTCATAAACCACTTCAAACATGCTATATAGCAATAATAATCAAACTCTTTATTTGCACTTATTTACACAGTTTGTTTTCCCCTATCATCCCCCTCCCTACCCCCCCAATAGAAACGTACATAAAACAAGAAAAGATTACATTAATTAAAAAATGTTAATTACTCAATGTAGCTGAACACAATAAGGGGGTGGGGTGTTTAGGAGTAGTACACAACCGGTTTATGAAACACACATTTTTAAAAACCTAGTGTGTGTTAAAAACCAACCCCTTAAGCTCCCCTAATTATGCACAGGTAGTTATTTTTTTTTTTTTTTACTTATACATATTAAAAAAAAATTTATTCTATTTCACATCAAATTAAAAAAATAATGGTACATAATTTGTTGGTGCAATAAATGAGAGATGCAAATTGTGGTTAAGCACAAACTGCAAACAATGGAAAATGTGCTTATTTCCTTAAAGGGACACTCCAGGCACCCAGACCACTTCTGCCCATTGGAGTGGTCTGGGTGCCAACTCCCACTACCCTTAACCTTGCAAGTGTAATTATTGCAGTTTTCATAAACTGCAATATTTACCTTGCAGGGTTAAGTCCTCCTCTAGTGGCTGTCTACTGTTATAACGACACTGGATGTCCTCACGCTATGTGAGGACCTCCAGCGTTGCCGAAATCCAGGTCTAGTGCGCATTAGGTCTCCCCCGCCAGCCGCGCATGCGCAATAGGTCTGAGCGTAGGTGGAGCCTGACCCAGCACCAAGGGTCATAGGCGCTGGATACAGGTAAGTCACTGAAGGGGTTTTAACCCCTTCAGCAACTTGGGATGTGAGGTGAGAGGGGACCTGCAGTGCCAGGAAAACAGTTTGTTTTCCTGGCACTGGAGAGTCCCTTTAAGTGCAAGACAAGTGTCTTTAAGGGGTTAAACCATGGAAATGTAGGCAGTTTGCAACATTATATCAGGAGGTGATTGATGAGTAATGTATCAGAAATATTGTTTAGGAAGTAAAACAATGTATTTTTTCGCATTATTCCTGACTCTTCTACTGTAATTATATGAAATGTATTTGCTTTATTGAACTCAGATATTTATTGTGAACTCAAAAATTGCGTGAACTCAAACTTACACCAGCATTGCACATCTTGAATTTGGAGGTTATTAATGGTGTACTACTATTGGTGCTAAAACTCACTTCTGCGGTGTTGTGGTACATATCCATTTGCCTTATAGAAATGTTTCATTGTCTACAGTTCATGGTTTTCTTTATTTAACGTGTGTGAATTAGGTTTGCATCTTTGCAGAATTTAAGATCACCCTGGAAAAAATGGCACTGTCAGACAAGCCATGAAAGTTCTGCCTGGGCAAACGAGAGGGTCTTGGGACAAATCTTGTTTGGGCCTATAGAGCAAGGATGACCAAAAGGTAGCTCAACTGTTCTTCAGTATGCAGTCTTGGTGACTGCACTAGCATATTCACATCTACACACTTCTGCGCACACACAGAAATATAGAAAATGCCTGGAATCCACAAACATCATCTTACCTTCTAGTGTTTAAACCTTTTTTTGATCAGCTTAACACTGGAATAGTGTATCCAGGCAGGGGCGTACCTAGAGCATTTGGCACCCGGGGCGGATCCTGTGCTTGGCACCCCCCCCCCCTCACCCCCCTCCCCTCCCCAAAAAAAAACCTGTAAAAAATGTTAAAGGTTTTATTTCTTTTATTTTTACAATTTGTAAACTTTGCAAAACCGCTGTCAGCCCCTCCTACAAAACCCTTGTCCTGCCCCT